CCAATTGTGCCACGCGATTGCCGTTCGTACTCGAACTTAGGTAGTTAAACCCTTATATGTATAAGCAAGAATAAAACCAATGTCCTGAAGTGAAAAACCACCATCGCCTCGAGAAGGGGAAAAACGGCTTTATCACGAAAGCTAGACAAGTATGAAAAACTCTATTCCAATTGACTCACGAAGAAAAACGAAGATTTATTCAAAAGAGAAGAAAGAAAAGTACGATCTCAATACGTTCGCCGGCTTTCTGTACAGAATCTCCACCGATAAAAACACTCTGTGAGGAGCAACATTCGCATCGCGGGGCTATGGAAAATCTTGCTTGTTTTCAACATAGCAGCATTCGAGCAATCGCGACCTTTCCGCGATACCGTGTACCTCGATGTGAAGCTTTGCAGCATTCCTTCTGAAACGATCTTGGCGTTGAACTCACCGCAGATGACCTCGAAGCATTTTATATGGATTCCTGATCAATATAAAATGCTTCAGGCTCCACCTCTTCGTAGCTGGACGTTGGTGCGTAGACAACGAAGGATGCTAGAACTGAAGTTAATCCACATCTCATCAATCGCAAACGTCCCATTCGGCTTGTCAAGCTCTTATACGAATCGATGTTCATAGCCAAGTGCGGGTCGACGATGCATCTACTCCGCCGACACTCTCCTGTCGCATGTTCTGAAGAGCAGTTCTTCTCCATTTTCGCGAATAGCGTACAACGGGTGGTACTATCTCGTCTCGATCAGTCCGATGACGTCTACTTTTTGGCTTGCTTCATCAGATCTCCGATACACGCTTCCGATGTAAGCGCTCGCACTGAAAGTACACATGGCTACCTCAGTCCTTTTTCTATACCTCTTATGACCCTAAAATTTGAGCAGCCTTTAGCAGCGGTCTTACCCAGCGCTGCCGTACTGAAGGCATTCTCAGTTTAAAAGGGGATCATTTTATCACTTTTCTAGCAAGTGGATACCCGCGTGCCAGGCTCTGACACGAGGGAGACCCACTCTTGTTCGTGCGAACATACAGACGTGTCGTTGGAAATACATATAGTTGGAATTATATATATAGGTATACTTATATAAATATGATATGATCGAAGAGAATAATGAAGGCCCCAACGGAAGATTCCGCCGAGCAGAAGAAAACGTTGGCAAGAGCGCTCGGACCGTACAAGCCGACATTTGCTGGCCGACAGCCGACATCTTCCTTGGTTTACGGATATTTCTCCGAGCGAATCCTTGTCCTTAGTCCAAAAAGTAATTTAGACGTAGTGAAACGGGTTGCTGTGTGCAACTTAACGCGTGAAAAAGGAATTCATCCGCTACCCACCAATTCCTCGTCAACGACCTGACCACAGCTCCAAATCCAAGATTTTAGCCGCTCAACATAAACTGCCGCATGACTGGAAAGCACTGGAACTTAGCATCAAAGCAGATGAAAAAAGACCAAAAATCGAAAAAAAGAACACTGGACTATTCTTGTTACTAAATTGGTTAGAGCGTGTACGCCCACACGCCGCGCGTGTCATTCTCTCACCATCGCTATCGGCCATCGGCCATCTAGTGCAAATACCACTCCTATTCAAAGGTTTTTAACAGTCTGTTGTTATTCTATTCTGTACACCTAACAAAAGAGGGAGTTCATTCGGATGACACTAGTTTCTTCCTCGCTTATGCATTTTCTAATTGACTTTGTATTATCTCTATGAATATCGTGTTTTTCTGCACGTTGATTTTAACGATGTGATATACCCTTATAATTATCAAATAAGTTCTTCAATCCTATAGTTGAGCATTTTCTTCTTCTCGAACTAGGCTTCTTTACGAACATAGCACTTTCCTCCTTGATCTGCCTATGAGTTTCATTCGATAGTTTTTTATTCGTTATTCTTTCGTTTTTGGTTGTTCATCATTAGAGTTTTATTACGCCATTTGGAAGACGTCGAGAACACTCTACGCCTCCTAACACAGTGTTTTGTAAGTTACATTCTCTTTCATCTCAATTTTTACCCGCATACTCTGCTAATATTCTAGATGTGCGTGATTTGTAAGTAACATCGCGTTTTAAGTGCCTAAGCTTTGATGCTGAAATAAACTCAAAGCCGAAAACGAATTGGATCCGAGTCCTAGCTTCATAAAGCAAAGACTTGCCGCACACGTCCTCGCATTCAGTTGGCTCTGTAAATCGTGGCTACGTTGTTAAGCCCATGTTATAACTTGCGAGAGAAGGGAGCGCTGGTTGCCTAGATGTCAATCCCGAGCCAGTCGCAAGACTATGTTGGTGGCCACTGCCACTAGCCGAGCTCCTACATATTGGTGGACTGTTAAAAAATCCCGATGAATTTTCAAGCACCTATGAAAGACCGACTGACATCATAGTTCTCTTGGCAGTCGATTTTTCGTCCAGTATTTAAAAGCAGAATGTTTAATTGTCAGAATATAGGCGCACTGACACAATGAAATGCGAAACATATTGCTGTCTAAATAGAATATATTATCATCATTGAATACTCAGGTATGTAAATACACCAGAATTCCCAATATGATTTACGTCACTACATTATTATCCACTAAGTTTCATAGAATAGGTTCCGTTCAAATCATTCCTTATGCTCTGAACATTCTTCAGGTACAGTCTGAAACCGTCCCATTGTTGCTTGTTTGCTGCGGCAATAGAAGAACACACCAAGAACACTGAAAGTTCCGAAGTTTGCAAGCGCAGCACCAAATGTCGGCTAAGCTCACAGTACTACATCTTGTAGAATTACTTCCAGTGACTCATACCTGACTGATACCAAAGATAGGAACGTAACCATTGCTATTATTCCAACCAAGTTGTTACGCACTTGCACTCGATGAGGTATCTTGAAAATCAAGGCAACAATACAATCAACATCTGTTAATTCGAAGCATCACAGACAACGTCGGCTCGAAAACACGGTGCAGCCCTGGCTTGTAAAATTAAGCATTGTCATACGAGGGTTGCCTTTTATATTTCGGGATTTGGAAACACTAGTGTAGCAATCTAGCAACTGACACCACTATCGTAAAATTTGACTATTTTGAGGTTCCGTTGCAAAATTTGAGCGCGATTTGTGTTGTTTACACTA